AGGCGATATTGCATCTGTACTGGCTCAGGTCCCGATAAAGACAGAGGGATGATGAAATCTCCTGAGAAATGTAAAGACCTAGTTCACTTTCAGTCATGGCTGATCTCCTAACAGTAATGTAAAGAGGTTACAACATGGTGAACCGATCGACGTGTATTCACTCGGTCTACTGGGTCCATACAATCTCAAGTTACAGTCAGTTACAATATGAGCCTAGAGTTACTGACGTCACTGGCTGTACAACAGCCGAGAGCAACAGACACAGTCCTNGACAGTCCTAGTAACCGCTAAAACCTCTGTAGACAACGTCAATATCACCACCTGAAATGTTTGTCGGTACGGTTTGTCAGTCGTTGCACTGATTATACTTTTAGCTAAAGAGCCAACCTTGCTGCTACTCACCGGGCTAACAGGAAAGTTGCGAGCTCGGCATCAAACCGCATCTCTTTCCTCTCAGGAGCCGTCTCCAGCGGTGGAAAGCCACACCGAGAGTTACTCGTGTTGCTTCTTTTCTTTGCCGTTGAACGTGGTTTCTTGTCGGGAGCGGTCCTGCGGGATACAGATGAATATTACCTTTTAGGAGGTTCAGCCATTCCTGTGTTTCTGTGATGCTAACCTTAAGCGGCTGGAAGTTGTTCTTCTTCGTGGGACTGAGGGCAGACTTGACGCTCCGCTGACTCACACAGCGTCTAGTGTCACAAAGTGGTATTACAACACAGGACAGGTCGGGGCTGGCTGGTGCGCATGCGCATTTCAGTAGATAACTCTGAAATACAAGAGATCTTGACCATGACATCGTCATTGTGGTTGCTTCACACACTGTTGATAGTGTTAATTCGTTTTTTTGAACATTTTAAACTAAACTTCTGGCCACATCTTCTATTGCACCTTTACAGCACAACCACCAAAGCTGACATTTAATAGTAAAGCTACATGTTCTTTGCCCACATTGCAAACCGACTTACAGTTTTAACACTTAAGTTAAAACAAAGCGATGAGCTTAACTTGACTGATATTGACACATTTGATGCATAAAAAACATATTGTGATTTGCTTTGACAGTATACAAATATATGCTTGGAAAATAAAATACAATTATGCTTTTCCCTTATACTTACATTCAATTTGTGATGTACAAACGTTTGTATTTGCCCATTTTGCATTCAGGCCAGTAGATGTTGCACTGTTCACATGAAGCATCAAGATATAAACCCTTTGTGGAACCACTTTGCTGAGAAAGTAAAACCTCAGACGCCGTGGGACTCGCATCCAGTACCAGGCAGTTGATTTCTGCAAGCAAAGAAGATACAACAGCCCGGGAAATTTTACTCACCAAGTATTACACTTACTGACCGTGGACTGCTCACAGAGCCAGGTTTCAGTTCATTGCAGCCATGCTGGTTTTTCTTGTGTCCGTATAAGAGGTCATGGCACTGTGCTCCCAGTCACTGTATGTTGGCAGTCTTTATGTTACGACTCAGCTAGGGGAAAAAGGGAAGCAACATAAAACCAGGTGTTATTAGTAAATCAAATTTACTGATTTAATTTATTGCGTAACCAGGAGGGTAAATAAGTAAACAAAGACACAGTGACACAGTCAGAATTTTAAACCTAGCCCAGTCCCCAACAATCACTACCAGCATCTCAAACCAAATCACAAATTACACACAAATGTTCACAAAGGTGGTACAGAGGCGAGCTGCCCATCATGTCAGCCGCCACTAATGATGTACTGACTGGGCTCTTAAACTTTCTTCCTCTGATGCTTAAACGGCAGCAGCTGTGGTGGGGGCTGACAGGTTCATTGCTGCACCAATAGGAGAAGCCGGCCTTGGAGTCGAGGCTCCTCCTCTCTGCTCCGACAGGGACAAGTAATCCATCAGTTACTGTTAAAATGCCCGAGCTTTGTGCAGCAACAGGCTGTAATAACAACAAAAACGGATCTGTCCTTTCTTTCCCAAAGGATGCAGAGAGGTAAGTCTAGACAGGGACGGATTTTAATATTAGCTACTGTCACATTTCATGCCAGTTACCTTCACTTGAGGGAGGGACAACACCCACTTAGGAGACCGGAACTCTCTCATTTCATACCATTGGCGCTGCCTGTAGTGCGGCATCTTCTCTATAGACGATCTTTGATATGTACAGCCGCCTACAACGGCTACCTGACCGCAGCAGGCTCCTGGATACGCGGTACGAAGTCACTGCTAACACAGTTAGCATTCATAGTTCGAGGTAAACTTTATATCTTAGTGTTAAAATAATCTTAGTAGCTAATTGCATACATGTCCACATTTGGTAAATATCACATATATGAGGAGAAACCTTGTAATATTAGCTGAAGTTACTGTGTGTAAGATAACTGTGTGGTGTAACCGCTTGTATTAAAACCATAGACCGAGGGAAAACATGTTATAACGTGTTTTAAAATGAGTTCTGCAAAGCGAAGGTGACGTCACCGAACTTAGTGTTAACAGAGACAGCGGGTTGTCAATGTAGGTAAGTCACGGTCACTAAACGATCCCGTTATTACAGTGAACTGTCGTGTCTGGAAGTGCTGTTAAAAGAGCAGAGCAGCGGACGTGTGTGTCGTGTTTGTTCATATTAAGTTTGGTTCAGTGTTAGTCGGCTAGTTTTCAGCTCTAGTTCATTTTATTATTGATGACAGGAGTCAAAACATCTGTTGGAATGATTCTGTCTCTGTCAGAATAAAGAACATCACTGAGAGCTGACAATCATCATGACGTGCACCTGCACAATGACACCAAACTGAGTATTAGTTTCTATTCTATTGTTATTTCATGTAAAACGGTTCAGCAGACTGTTTATTACAACTAAGCTGAGGGAATAATGTATTTTCAGATATCTGTGAGTGCTGTTTCTTTTGTCTTTTTCTCTATACTTTACAATAAGATATTGATCTGATTTCTCTCTATTATAATGTTTTTTTCCATCCAGCCAAGGTCTGGATCTTTGGCGACACCTACAACCTCTTGCGGCAATGATGGAGGCCCTGCATCACCTCCACCTGCAGTGTCCACACATGAAGATCTTCTCTTCCCAAACATAGACACAGTGTCTTATATGATAATATAGTATTTTTTAATGTAACACTTGTGGCCATAACATTGTTCAGTCTGATCAGCTGTGCTTTTCCTTGTTCCCTACACCCTCACTGTCTTATTACACTCTCTGCCCCATGTCAGACATACAATCACATGACTTTTGGACTCCACTGTAGCTGTAACATTGTCAATAGTTTAAAACATTAGAGTTCATATTTCATAGTCCTCAGCCATTATAGTTAATATCAGTGTGCTGTTCCAACAGCATCACTTATTTAGAGGGAGATTGTTACTGAAGCAAATAAATATTAACTGTCTCACACATTAGGACTTATGATGAATAATGATTACACTTGTTACTAAAAATTCTGTTGCAGTTGATTCAACTACTTTTTTTTATTAAGCAAACTTACATATGACTAATTGGACTAGTTGGAAATTAGTGAATTAAAGTTTTCACTCATTCTTGAAATTTGATCTTTAACGATGATAATGCCAAGGTAAATTTCACCGGATTTCCTGAAACTTTTAAATCACTGCAGCAACTCACATTTGGATAGGTTTAGTTTGATAATAATTATTACTTATTCACAAACATTAAGGCATAGGACAGAAAATTGACTGTCAGTTTAAAGAAAGAGATGAGACAGATAACAAAATTCAGTCATGACTACATAAATAGAAGGGTAGAGGTTCAAAAGATCATAAAACATTTTGAGGATCTGAGGATTTTTTATCGTTGTTGGAAAAACAGTACATCAATATTTCTCAAAATTACTGTAATAATCTTGTAAAAGCTTTAGTGTAATTTACAATTTTCACCGAAAGTCATAGCGTCAGTGACCTTTGAGACAAGCACTCAATGTACTCTGACTTCTCTTTGCTAATTAGCTTCTTCCGCTTCCTCTCTTTGTTATTGTTTGCACTGGAGGAGGAAAGGGCGGGAAGCAGCTTACAATACATTTCCGGCTTCTAAATTTCCGCAGGTCATTTATAGAGCAAGACAGAATATAGATTTATAAAACACACCACAGACCTGGGGACAGGTAGAGCATACATCAGTGGATTCATGACTTCCGATATAAACATTACGACACCAGCCTCTGTGTGTTAAACCTTACAAACTTACATAAGTGATCTTAAGCCTTAGCTATCAACTACTTTAATTTATCCAACAACATAGTGAGTGAAATGCACAAAAGAAACTAGAATATCTTCAGTTATTAGTCTATCATTAGTGTCTTTTTTGGGTATCTGAAGTTCACCTATACTTTGAATTGTGCAATTTTTTAAATCTAGAATTAATGCACTGTAATTTGAGTTTTTTAGGTGCAGTTAATATACAGAAACAAAAATCCATTAAACATCTATGCACTAACAAAAAAAACAAACAATGTCCATTGCCCTGCCTGCATCATGTACCTGCCTGTTTCTCTCTCTTCATTATTTTAGGCCTGGACTTAAAGTTGTACTTTGCCCAGTAGTTTAGCAAGATGTTTGATTATTACATAACTGCTATTTCAGTCCAAATGTTCCTCTGCCACTTCAGTCTTATGTTAATCCATAGCATTCAGTGAACAGAGGAAAGGTAAAGCTGAATGATTTGACTCAAATAGGAAGAGAAATGTTTGTGGAAATAATAAAGATGTTTAGCTTCCTCTAGAACCACAGTACTTGCGCTCATGAACCTGATGTGAAGCATGCATCAGAAACAGGGATACAAATAAAAATTTCTCATTTTATTTGTGATGTTTTTTTTCCTGTGTGTTTCCTAGTGTTTACAGCAAAGCAGCTCAATAATATCAGCTTTACATCCACACCTACAGTGTTTCTCCACAGTCACAGCAAACTGTCAGAGTTTGAGAAACCAACAGAACAACTTTTTTCACAATGTCTGGGCAGGTCTACGTATGATTTAACACTTCCTCCTCTTTAAAGACAAATTATAGTACAGGCAGGATTCTGCTTTAAAAAACATTTTGACTGGATTGGGGCACAATTATTACCTCTTTTAAAATCAATCAACCAATCATATAAACAATATCATTCGAATGTTATATTATGAACAGTCTGCATCTTTGAAAATAAGAAAAATCAAGTCTTGGTAAAATTGTTTTTCATGTGTGTTGTGAGAATATTATCCTGAGTTCATGAAGTGTCCCACTGCAGCTCATTAAAAAAAAAATTCCAAGTATCCACTCAAATTTACATCTGAATTATGTATTGTTGCATTTGAACAGTGAGAATTTTCTAGGAGCAGCTCTGCAGTGCTAGCTACCCCACAAAGTCCGACACTGCTAATGAACTCGTATGTACAGTGGACATGTGTATAAAATAACACAGTAGATGTTATAAAAATCATGACAGCAAAAACTTAAGGCAGATGTTTTCCAGTAATCCATGTACATGGAGTACAGATTGAAAAACAAATTCAAAACAGTAACGTGTCCATTTCAGGACACATGTAGTCATTATGAATCTCTCAGGAAAACAGCACCGTCTTTGAAACTCTCGTTGTGACATAAAAGCAGATATCAAACCCCTTATTCAGTTAGAAAGGATAATATTCCAATCTTATTATTTCGTCACTCAACTAGTGCTGAGCGCTTTCATCAGCCCCTTCATTCAGTGTAAGCAAGAGGAAACATTGGAGAAGGCCTGCTGACCCTCTTCGTGGCCCTGAAGTCAGACAGAGAAACCTCCAAAGAGTTCAGTCAGCTGGACTTCCTCTCTTCAGTCATTTGGCTGAGAGCAGTTTTCTTTATTAAAAAAAGTGCACGTAGCGTCCATCCCATGGTGATATTATGTGTAGTAGTCCAGCTTGCTTTCTATCGTCTTGCAGCCTTTGACAGAGAAGACTCTTTCAGATTTGGGGAAATAGACCAAATCTTTGGCCAGTTTGTCTGCCAAATATTGGTCAGGCTCCACTCCTCTGTCTTTCATCTCAGCCATGACACACTGGACGACGTGTCTGTACTCCAGAGGCAGCAACGGGACGAAGAAGTCCACCAGGTTCTTGTCAATCAAACTTGTACGAAAAAACCCACCTATAGGGAGAGATTTATTTTTAAAAATCCATGTTGTTTATCAAAGCTAGTTTCTGAATGATAACGACACAACAGCATTCCAGCATTTATACTCACTCTCTTTGTTGTTGAACACTGACAGAGAGAGCAACATTTCCAGGTCTTTGAGCTCGATCTCCTCTCGATTTCGTCCTTCTTTCCAGAAATCTAAAGCTGTCTGTGCGATGCTGTCCCCACCAGCATTGCTATAAGGAAGATCAGAAACATGCAACGTATCAAAATTTGCCTCTGATTAAAAGCCGCAACAGGAGGGCTGGTATTGTTGTCACCTTGTGAGGCTGTGTGTGTGTGTATGTGTGTCATCATGGCAGAATGTGGTCCCTGAGACACCTGTAGTAGAAACTACCACAGATGTGGTAGTTTATATGTCTACGGACAGATTTTGTCACTGCAATAGCATCACAACCTCGTAAGCTGCAGTCTCTGACATCAAAATGAAGTCCAAGCTCGAAATCTGGGGGTGGTCCAACCCATGACTACTGAGTACTTATGTAATAATGTAGCAATAACTAGTAAGTACTCATGAGTTGGAACATCAACATGTTCACAAGCGTTGTGGCTGGTGGCAAGATAGTTTCTAATTACCTATTTTACATTGATCAAAAATCAATATAAAATGTACCGTATATATACATTCACACTCTTTCATACCTATAATTCTTTCTTACTGCATTTTTACTACTCATCTGCTCTGAATTGTATTTTCCTTTTCAGTGCTTGCTATTAATGGGACCTTATAAACAGACAACTGATACATTTTTGGTTGATACCTTTCTGTGGTTCAAGTGAAAATGTTTGGGGACTTAAGAGCCTGTATACTCCGTCTGAACTGCTTGTTGGGTGGTCAAATAGCTTCAGAAACTCCACCCTCACACATCTTTCCAACATTGGATTAGAGGGATCTGTATCCAAACATTTTTGTAACCTTTTAAAACCAAAATTCTACCATTCACACCCACTTCATGTCCTGATTAACCAGCTGTGAGAAGGTGAGAAAGGGTTTGAACTTCTCTCTCTAGCCCTATCTTTTCTTAACAGGGCAGTTCCTCAACAAAGTGCAACATTCTGAATCCCTTCCAGGAGAGACTGCCTAAAAATGTTCACTCCGCCTTCGAGTGTGGCCATTCGGAAAAAGCTATAAACCCTGATGTGGTCAGACGACACACTGTATAAACTTGATATAAAGTATAACCAAGTTTATCCCAACCCTTAGGAAAACGTTCAGCTTTTCACCTGAGGAAGATAAAGATGGCTTTCCGATAAGAAACTCCATCCAGCTTGTCATAGTAGTCCAGGTATGGCTTAATGCTGTCGATCAAGCCAGGATGCATCTTGTCCATCTCATCAAAGATGAACATGGAGCGTTCACAGTTGGTGACATTCCCTTTGATCCACTGCTGTAACTGAGACTGAGAAGAAACAGCAGCATGTTTAATTCACACAAAAGGCTGAAAAACAACTATGTCACTGTGTTTTAATTGAAAGTAAAATGAATCAACTTATTCATACCCCATACCTTGTATGTAAGATATTGACTTGGATGTGGGAAGTGAAGTGTGGATGTGAAAACATGAACAAAGTTGCTGTCCATTCCCTCCTTGTAAATGCTTTCAGCAATCAGCTTACTGACAAAGTTCTTCCCTGTGCCGGTCCATCCATGCAGAGAGAGCACCAGGGGCTTCTTTGGGTTTGCATTTTTCATGAATCCATTCACAGCTTTTAAGATGATGCGTGATGCTATGTGCTGTCCAAACAGTTTTCTGCTCAGGTCAACCTCGAGTGCTGGGAAGAACACGGTGAAAAGTCAACAGGATCAGTGACTGCAAACAGTATGTCATTTTTGTTCCACCCAAAGAATACCACCTCATCTGTCAAACGTGGTGGTGGCTCTGATATGGCTTGGGCATGAATGGCTGCTAATGGAACTGGCACGCTGGCATTTATTGATGATTACACTGCTGTCAGAAGCCACAGGATGAATGCAGAGGTACACAGATGTGTTTTGTGTGCTGACATTCAGTCAAATGCATCAAACCTCAATGGACAATATTTCATCATTCAGGAGAACTACAGTTCAAAACATACAACCAAAGCAACCAAAGAGCTTTTCAGGGTGAAAAGTGTAATATCCTCGACCATCTGAGTCAATCCCCTGATCTCAATCCACCTGATGAAGGTCAGGCTAAAGGCAAAACAAGTAACAGCAGACTGTGGGTGACTTTAGGCAGTCATTGACTACAAAAGGACTTTCCACAAAATATTAAATATAATGATTTTATTCAACTACTTTTAGGCCCCTAAACTTTGGGCACTATGTGGCGCTATCAGAGCTGTATCTTCTACAGTTCTTACTATACAGATGTAAACCTACTCAAATTAAAGCTCAGGATTGGCACCATCATATAATTTCAAAGTCGTTGTACTGAAGCACAGAGCCTGAAGAAGAAAAGAAAGCCTTACTTTCCTCGTTAGGTTTCGATTTTGACGGTGTAAAAACAACAGGCAAGCCACGGCCAAGTCATTGTCCTAAAGACTGCAAGTTGCTGTAAAAAAAAATTACTGTTGTTTGTACCTGTAGTCGTGTTGGAACAAGGTGCACATGCTTACCTGTTGCATTGAAGGCTATCCATTTCGAATCGCAACTTTCATGTAAATAATTGTAGATCGTCCGGCCCAGAGACGCACCGATACCGATCACCACTGTTGTTGTGACCGGATCAAACGTGTTTACCAGTACGGCGGTGGTCGACAACACATGTAACAACAAATATAAACGTGTCGCTTTCATTGTGGAAACCACTTAATTTCTGACATCGGTCGCTTTTTTTGCGTGATAAAACAACCTTAAAACCACGGAGAAACCGTTAGCAGACCAACTAGCTTCTTTGCAACGCGGAACTTCCTTATACGTCACAAACACGTGATACACATACTGAGCTCTGTTCAACACAGCCATACAAATGTTTGCTAAGTTAGATGCAAAATGAATAAATTCAAAGTATTATAGTAAACTTTACGCATGTTTATACTATTTATGTACTTATGTAGCTAACTGACAATGTAGCACACGCATTAGCTTGGGTAACGTTAAATCAATCAGTAGTTTAAAGCTGTTAAAAGTATGAAAAGACCACAAATGAGTCCAATGTGGTGGCTAAAGTGTTAGCCGGATACACGTGTGTTACCTGTCCTGTTGAACGAAATCCACTCGGGTCGACAGCACTCGTGGAAATGGTAGAATATGTTCTGGTAGCTAGCTAAAAACGCCGTCAGAGTCGCAGCCATGCCAACCGCTATGGTGGTGCTGATGGGTTCGATCGCCTCGGTCAGGCCGGAGTAGACCAGCATCCACAGCAGCAGGACGTGTCGTTTCCTCGGTTTCATTTCGCACAAGTGTGGCCTCTTTATCAAAAGAAATTAAAAAAAAGGTAACGTGTCTAATCGCTTGTTAAAGCGGAGTGAACACTCCGGGAGGTGGAGAGGCGTTCCGGTTGTCATGCACACGCAGGAGTGACGTCAGAGTCCAAAGGTTGTTCGATTAATGGTAATCTTTTTTCTTTTCTTTCTTTTTTTGCTCCAAATCTTCCCAAAAAAAGTAATCTTTCCAAAGGCCTAAATAACATTAACCACCTGTTTAACAGCAAGGCACTTTAAATTTACAATTACAAAAAAATTAATTCATGATTAAATAAAGTGAATTACTGAATGATACATAGAGTAAAATAATTTAAGTTTTATGTATTTTCTCTTCAGTGGTGAAAGGAAAAAAATATTGATGCATTAATTCATATTTCTGACTTGTCTGTCATCACTGTAAAGGTGAGAGACAACTGGTTATAGCTGAAAGCTGCAGAGACCAACAATAACCTGTGAATTTATCTAGAGTTCAAAATCCTGTACACTAAATTATTTTTTGTGACTATTATATAAAAGAATTGAATCCTGGTACACACAGTGTAAGGTGAAAAGTAAACACACAACATACATATTATCAGTTAAATAAACACTGAAGGTAGGTTGTACATTTAAAGTAGTATTACATGTAGCAAAATGCAGCTTGACTCCTTCTCCTGAGTCATTTGGCTGAGAGAATTTTTCTTTGATAAAAAAACACACATTATGATTGAACACAGTGTCCATCAGATGATATAGTTGTACAACCTTCTCCCTAACATCTTGCAGCATCTGTTAGAGAAAACTTTTTTAGACCTGGGGAAATAGTTCAAATCTTTGGCCACCTTCTCTGCCACACCCCGGTCTGGCTTCAGCCCACTGGCTTTCATCTCGGCCATGACACACTGGACAATATGTTGGTACTCCAGAGGCAGGGAAAGGATGAAGAAGTCCACCAGGTTCTGATCAATCAAGCTTGAATGCCACAAACAACCTACAGAAAGAGATGTTCAGTTGGCAGTTTACACCTAGCTAAAACAAATACAATCTAATATGACTGCCTCACAATAAATCCTTCATGAAGCATTTGTTTAGTTTGTTTTAGAGCGGTATTAATTCAACTCTATGGTCAGTTTGGAGACAGTAGTTTGTGGTGCTGTTGAATTGTATTTTTGTTATATTCACAGGTGTTTTCTATTATTTTGTCTATTATTTCGTTGTTTCTTTCCATAAATCTCAAGCTCTTTCTGTGATGACCTGCCCTTCAGCATTGCTAGGAGGAAGATCAGAAACAGGCAATATTTGAGCTATTGTTGTTGTTATCTCATTGATTTCTCAATGCAAGGCTGGAGCCACACCAGCAGCACAAATTACATCACTGCACCAAAATAAAACTGAGGTTTTTAACTTTTGCTTGAATAAAATATGATTTTTGTCTTGGATTTAAAGCTGTGACCAGAGGTTTATTTAGAAAAATCTCAAAAGAATCACATTCTTAAACATGAAGGAAGAACATACATGAGCTGCTGAATCTGAAGGGAAAGAGAGATTAAAGACTAAACTTCACACTATAGTAAATAGTCTCATATGTCCTTATTAAAGAAATAAGGATAGATAAAGTTCTCAGTTAGACACACACACACTCACAACTATTCATAATATTCACCTTGAAGGAACAAACAAATACTGTTGCAACAGAACAAACAGTTTTTTTTTTGTTTTTTTTTTAATTTTATTGATGGTGGGGTCTAAATGACACCAACCCTGTAGATAGAAGATAGGAGACAGAAGAAAGGAGAGAGGACATAGGAGAGAGGAGAAAGGAGAGAGGAGATAGCAGAGGAGAGAGGGCTATTCATAATATTTACCTTGAAGGAAAAAAGAGAAAAAAAGAGAAATCTTTTTCCTTCAAAATGAATATTACATGTCGTCTAAATTAAACCAACTCTATATCTTCTTAGGAAGATGTTGGAGATGCCGTTTCTCATAGAAGAGAAGAATCTGGAGATGGCGTTGCGTGGATTTGGTGATGTCAGTTGTCTTTTGAAAGAGGCAGCAATGTAGTTTGCAAGTTGTGGTTCCTGTAACTTCATGGAAATCAGAACCATCTCTGCACAGCGCCATCTCTTACAAAGGTCCTTGAAAATGGTCTTGTCGAGGTGTTGAACTGTCTCTGGGGTAATGTGGAACTTGGTGCCTTTGACTTCAGCCCATGTTTTTTCAAACAGATGTTGAATGATGACACCTGAGTCTTCAGAAAAGTTAACTTTTGCCTTTCTGAACACGCGGGTAACGAGTTTTTCCACGAGAACCCTGACAGACATTTTGTTTTTTTCTGCCTGTGCTCTTGAACCCTGCAGAGGTTCAGACTCACAAACTGAGGCAGATGCTGCCTCCTCTTGGAGCTGTAATGATGCCATTGGCTCAGTGTTCATTAAGGCAAGCGTCACCCTGCGACTGTGGCCGGCAGCCTGAGTGTTCAGCCACCAGCTAATCAGTGCTAGGAAACAAACCACTCTGCTCTGTATGTCAAGATACATGTTGGGATGGGACTGAAGTGGTCTTGGAATTATCTCTGGGGTCATGTGAGAGTGGAGCAAATCACTAAGTTCTGTTGTGAATACCAGGACTTTACAAGGTGAAAGGTCGTTGAATCTCTGCAACGCCTGATCTTCATTTCCACTTGGTTGGTTTTCTCCATCTTCTGTCAGAAGCAGAGAGTCAACACTAGCCATGAGTGACTGGATTGACTCTCTGCTTTCAGCTTTCGCGTCCCGGTGGAATTTTGTCTTTAATTGTGCGACTATCCGATGAATGGATGCGCTGATAAATCTCTTGGCAAAAAAGGTTTTTAGCTTTGCCTTCACTCCTTTCAAAGGAGTTTTGGGGCTCTTCTTGGATTTGGGGCTTGAACTTGAACATTCTGTTTCTTTCAAACTCTCTGTTTCTTCAGTATTTGCCTGAACAATGAATTCTGCAAGACTCTGAATCTCCAGAGAAGATTCAGATCGCAACAGCTCAAGGTCAGAGTGTGGGACTTCAACCATAAGAGGTTCTGTGAGTGCACTGACCTCCTTGCTAATTAGTGTCTGTACAGAGGTGATCTGGCTTTCTTCATGGTTTGGTGATATGCAAATTTTCATTTTGGCAACGAAAGCCTTTAACATTTTGCAGGCATGACCAACCATCTTGTTAAGTGTGTGGGGTGGAGTGACATGATTTAGCAAAGGCTTCGCAGAGCACATGTTAGTGAAGAGGGCAGAGTTGACGCTTTCTGTAACCTCTTTCCCAATCAAGACTGACAGTCGTCCAGAGCTGACACTCTTGACTTCTTCTTTAACATTCAGTACGTCTGCAAAACTTTCAGCGAGTGTACGGCCCAGACAGGACTGAATACTCTCTTCAGACACTAACGCATTTTGCCTCAGAAGGGCTCTCACCACGATTTTTGTAATGACTGACATTACGTCCAAAAGCAGGTCTGCCAAAATAACCTTGGTGGCAACATCAGGGGTACCGGATTTTATTAATGCCCACTGTTCCTCTTTCATCCTTGATAGAAAGGATTCAATAATCGGGCAAAGAGTTTCGGATGTAATCTCCGGCATCTCCATTGTTGCTGTTGGTTCTCTTGTAGCCATCGGAACGTTTTGTGTTTTATACACTCCTTGTTTTAGTTTTCACATATGGGTCTGTCAGTCAAACACTAACAGAAATGAAAACTGAATGTGTTGAGGGGACAGTCTTAAATATTCCTGTCAGAAATTATGTTTGTAGCGCTGGTTATTCAGTACAAATATTATGTGAATATAAAGTAAACGAGGAGCTAAATATCAAATATCAGCGTAATGTCATTCACTGTGCTAAAGTGACATAAATTTGATAAAAGTCAATGTTACTCATATATGCTACTCAGTATATGACTTTGATACGTCATTAACTACGTCATTCTAACTTCAAAGGCATTCCAGGTAACGGATCAGAGTACTGACTTTTCGTTAAGCCCCGCCCCCTTACAGCGACAGTAACCCAACAACCGTTGCTAGGCACCCGCGGCGTGCCTCAAAATGAGCCCCGCCCCCTTACAGTGACTAACCGAGCAACCGTTGCTAGGCATCTGCGGCTTGCCTCAAAATGCTCCAAGCCCGCCGTACTTACAGTTGCGCCCACTTTATGGTAAGTCACGCCGCTGTTCCTCCACACAGAAAGGAGCCAGTTGAAGTTGTTGTCTTCAGGTCCGATGTGAAAGGGCGTGGTATAGCTATGCTAACTAGCTGCTAGCCCGCTGAATAAGTTTTAAAAACACACATTTACCGACGGATGCAGGAAACATGACGTCACGTGGAGAAGGCGTAAACCAACCAGTTACAGCTGATAAAATATGTAGCTACAGTTATCATTTCAGCCGTAAATATGAGACGGCCGCTTTTGGCTTCGTGTGTCTGAAGCTATCATTGTTTCAAAATAAATTGTGACGATGTGTCAGCAGCGGTTTTACCACACAAATGCTAATTATTTGTTGCCAGAGACATGTGAGAGGCTGACAGTTAGCTGAACATTTTGTCATAAGATCAATGACAGATCTTCAGTATGTCCAAATATCATTCATTGCCACGATAATACAATCACAGTTTTGCTGAAGTTTTTGGACCTCAAAGACCAAGAGAACCATAAAGAACAGAGGCAGAGATGGATATATATGTGTGTGTATATATATGTATATGTGTGTGTGTGTGTGTATATATATATATATATATATCTTAGGTACAGAAAAGATACATTTCTGTAGCCTTCAATGACCAGCATGCAGACTGCTTAAATATTGTTTAATCAATAATTTTTTATTTATACCACATTTATTACATATTTCATCACAGTGACTGGCCGATGTCAACCAGGGTGACAATGTTTCACTAGCAGAGACCACTTATCTGCGCTTTTCTCTAGATTAATGAGTTCCTCCTGATGGTGGCGCCACAGGATAAGAGGCACACTCCCAAGCTACTCAGTTTCTGTAGACCCTTGTATGTGACAGAACATGTGGGACACAGCTCACTCTACAGGCTAGAGTTGCCTCATTACCTGCAGGCTCCTCTCCCAGA